CTTATGAATCCTTTATCCAATAACTCTTGCAACTGAGCCTTTAACTCCCTCAGTTCCTTCATGGCCATTCTATAAGGATCCGTCGAAATTGGTGACGTTCCAAGCATTACCTCAATTTGAAATTCAATCTCTCTATCTGGAAGTAATCCCGGTAATTCATCTAGAAACACATCTAGAAATTCCCTGAGCGTCGGAATGCCCTCTAATCATATCTCTGGGGCTCGAGTATCAATCACATTGTAGATAAAAGCTTGACATCCTTGCAACATTAGCTTCTTAGCCGATATTACAGATATCATATTAGATAATGGATTAATTCTCTCGTTGACCACAATTATCTCTAATCCATCAGAACTTTTCAAAATAATTCATTTCAATCGACACTCAACATTAGCATGGTAACAATACAATCAATCCATTCCCAATATAACCTCAAACTTATCAAAAGGGTAATTCCATCAGATTAGAAGGGAATTCAATTCCCTGAATCCTTATAGGACACCCTCGATAAATCTGGTTCACCCAAGCACTATGTCCTAGCGGGTTAGTCACAATCACATCACTACTTATAGTTTATAATTGAATTCCCAAATCTCTCACCAGCTTTCTACTGATATAAGAATAAGTTGATACAGGGTCAATCAATACCAAAACAGGCTTATCAATTAATTGGAAAATACCTACGATGATCTTCATATCGTCATTATCTTCATTAGTCTTAATGTTGTATACCCAAGCAGTAACACGACTTCAGGTTGAGTGATCGATTCATACTGATTCTTTCCCCTGCCTCGTCCTCTACCTCTCTAAGATATAATAGCGAATCTTTCTGATTGTGTGGGCTCTTCAGTCATTAACGGACAATCCCGGATAAAATGTCCAATGTCCCTACATCTAAAACATGCTTCAGAGACCACTCGGCATACACCACTATGATTTTTTCCACGATGCTAACATTGGCCTTCTAGCTCCTGATTCAGTTGATTGAGTCTACCTAGCTCTCACAGGATTTGATCCTCTGCCTGAGAATACAACTGACTCGGATCTAGTTTCAGGTCAAAAATCTGAACCTTGACTTCTCTTCGATTGTGTTACACTCAACAAGGCACCCGCTCTCTTGGTCAACTGGGTCTTTTGCTCCCAAAATCTTTCATTCTGTGCTCGCTCCAAGGCTTTAGCTTGATTCACTACCTCTTGAAACATAGAAAGATTCAACGCTATTAGCAGCTCCTTCAATCTGGGGCGCAAACCCTCCACAAACCAATCACATGAATCTTTCTCAGTTAGGACCAATTCAGCTGCAAATCTGCTTAATTTATTAAATTCGCACTCATACCCATACACATCGTGACTCCCTTGCTTCAAATTCATGAAATCCTGCTTTATTTGTCTAATGAATTGATCACTGATATATTTGTTCTTGAACTATTCCAAAAAGAACGACCATGTCACATGATCACTAGGTACTTTCATCGTCACATTAGTCCTCCATACACGTTCTTGACCTTGTAGAAGTGAGACTACTCCATCTAACTTCTCTATTTCAGAATAATGGAGATCATCAAGCATAATTTTCACATCATTTAGCCAAAGATACGTAGAAATGGGACCTTCCTCAGCTTCTCCCTTAAAGTCGGGTGCTTCTAAACTTTTTATTTCTTTAAAAACATTCATCCTAGGAGGAGAGGAAGTAGACAATTGGAAACGCTTAAGAATCACTTCCAACTTTCGAAAAAAATACTTTTTGATCTTGCACAGTCACTCCCTAATGCGCCGTTCTTCACCTTGCCTAGTTGGGGAAGGTGAATTGCTACTACACTCATTAACTCCATCTCCCGTTTCACTTTGGGAGCCCTCGTAGTCTAACATCTATTAAAATATAATCACTTAACTATATTAGCAAAGTCAACATACCCATTACACTATCAGATCAGAGCTTTTTGATATTTCGTTGGTATGTACACATTTTAAAACATAAATTACTTCATTTTGAGCCTAGAATGGGTTAAATCTTAGCTCTGATACCAACAAATGTCACACCCCCCGACCCGTACTGGACTCGTATAAAAATCTGATGTGTAACATTACTTTTCAACGCTTTGACTCTTTGAAAAATTCGACTAAAATTTGACTTTTTATCTTTATTTTAGTTTTGAAGCCCTCATTAACACGAGTTAAAATCGAAATTAATATTAGACAGTGAAAATAAATATTTAATATATTTACATAAACCTTAATTAGTATAGTTACAAAACAGATCAGATCATTTATGATTTAAACATTTGTAGTACATGCTAACAAAATTTCAAAAATAACAAAATCATCTACTATTCAAATCAGCCTGATTTGATCTTCTTCAAAGGGTATGTTGTCCTGACCAAGCTTTACTCTGTCGAATTCTTTGAACCTACGTGTGAAAACACTCACACGCTAAGTCTTTGACTTAGTGAGGCATAAATGAGCATAATAAAGCATTAAAACACTTGCTTAAATATTTCAAGAGAAACATTGAATACGGAAAACAAGATACATTTCATAACAATAACATATACTGTTATGCACTATTCAATTCATATTAAGTTGTTTAAATAGTCCAACGCATATAACTGAGAACTCAAGGTATGATAGTACTTTGAGGTTGTGCAATGTAATTGCAGTCAAAACTGTCACGTAGAATTTTGCACTGAAGTGCCACGTAGAATATGCACCGAAGTTCCACATAGATTTGTCCCGGAGGACCACATAAAATTGTCCCAAATAACTACGTAGAATCCCTCGACGCTTGGCATGCCAATTATATCTCTAATTCTCATAGCACATACTTTGGGCTTTAACCATATAAGTATTTCATATAGCATTATTCAAATTATCATTTATTCACATAGAACATATACTCATAGTAATAAAATCAAAATAGTGCTTTTGAAATACGATTTAGGTAAAACCATAAAAATTAATATAAATAACCATTCAAAATTCTATTTTAGTTAAAAATCTTTGGAAGTCGACTTATCATAAGTCTTCTTCCCTTGTATTAATACATTAAAGTAGTATGCTCTCACCTTTTCCTCACTTAAACCCTAGTGAAAAATCTTTTTCACTTTCGCTCAATCTCTTTATTACGTCGATTCGTTCGGTACTTACTTTCGATTGAAATCTACACATTAACATGACCAAAATGAATATTGAAGCTCAATTAATTGTTAGTCAATCAGCATTTACATAAACTAAATAAGACACCAAATTCACAATTTCAAGTTGAACACTATCGGTACTCTACACCCAGTACCGATACTTCCCTTGTATGGTACCGATACCTACCTCAGTATCGATACGCAATTTGCTTTCTAGAATTTCCTTTTCAATTACAGTATCGATACCCTACTATTGGTATCGATACTCCCAGTATTTATACTACCCCTTCAGTATCGATTATGTTCATCCAATTCATATAGTATCGATAATGTTCTTCCAGTACTGATACCCTTGCCCATAATTCACTAATTTTATTTCGAATTTGACCCAAAACGCATCTAAATCTCATAGTTCTAACTTCATTCATGCCCTTAAACTCAATAACACTTATCACAACTAACTTTCATCAATTAAATCCCCTTTAACATCCAAAATTTTCACTAGAACACTTAATACTAAAAATCACACCCGTTCTTACCTCAAACATCTTTTTCAGACATTTGACAAGTCAAATATATCTTGAAAATCCAAATACTAATCAATTTTCATCAACTCCCTTAAAAACCCATTTTACCAAATCATCATTCACTCATCAATCCCATATCTTTTAATCATCTTTAAGCTTTCTTAATCTTCTATACCACCCAAAAACTCAAAATCATTTCAAAAATGCAAGAAACAACCAACTTCAAGATTACTCACCTTAGCAATGGAGTTCACGGTGGAAATGAAGAAGAGAAGATGAAGAAAGCTTCTAGGCTTTCTTTTCCTTTTCTTCTTTTCCTCACATGTTATATATACCTTAAAAATGAATTTTAAATTCATTTCATGCCAAAAGACCACTTTGCCCTTCCATCCTTCAATCTTTGATAATATATCCCAAACCAAAATTCCAAATAAATCCTTGAACATTTCAATCTATCAAAATCAAACCGTTAAATTTTGAATTCTTACACTTTACTCCCTGACCCGATGTTTGGGGTATTACAAAATGAGTATCTCTTACTCAAATTAATCATTGGTTAAGGGATTTATTATCATTTGAAGTTTTGGGTTCGAGCACTACATATATTCAAGCATTTGTATCTACAAGGTATATACACATTATCAATGGTTAAGAAATATTATGAATTAATATTACCTTAAAAGCACTAAGAATATTTAAAAAAATGTATTTGATAAACTACCAAAAAAACTGTGCAACATAAAAATAAAATTATATTTATTGATAAAAGTTATAGTATTGTAAGTTTTTATTTTTCTTAATATAGTAATTGCTTATATGTTTTTATATCAGTGAAACATAATATATATAGTTTAACCACTAATATTTGATCTATTAATCAATTAATCTAAATCAAGTACTACATATATTTGATATGGGAACAACCATCCAAATTCATTTTTTTCATTTACAGTATCAGGATTCGAACCCTAACGTTACTTAAAAACTCTCTAATCAAAACAAATAAACATAAAATCTATACTAACACAATAAATAAAACAAGTACACATATAACTTGTTTTAATACGTTTCCTCTCCTTTCATTCCTGCGAATCAATTGCATCAAAATTCTTCATTAAAAATACATACTTAAGAATAACACTCAATTTTGTGTCCAAATAGCATAGATATTTTGTTGCATATGCAATACATTATGAAAGTTGAGTGACTAAGAATTTAAGACCTTGAAAAATGGAAGGCTTGGTATGCATAAAACCACATTCACTTATCTCCATTTCCAGGGAAGATGAAAACCATTTCATGCTAAGATTCTGATCTTTTTTGGTTCTTCTTGTTTTAGCTTCAAAGCAGCACATGTGCCATGTTGAGCAAGGAAATAGCAGAAAAAACCAGAGAACTGAGGTAAATCTAAATGTTATAGTTGTTTTTGTTGTTGCAATGTATGAGCTTATGCCATGCATGTGATGTTGTGATGTTGTGCTCATCCTTTCATTGATAGACGACTGAGAGGAGAGGAGCTCCAAGGGTTAGATTTAGAGGAATTAAAAGAGCTAGAGAAATTACTTGAAGGAGGCCTTAACCGAGTCTCGCAAACAAAGGTTTCAACTCACCCTCTCTTTCTCAGTAAAGCAGGTTTTCATGTGAAACTTTGTAGATTGTGATTTAACTCATGGTGATTGGTTTTTTTATGTTTCAGGATGAAAGGTTTTTTAAAGAAATCAACGCCCTCAAAATGAAGGTAATAAAATAATTGCCTTGCAATAGTTGATACATACATACATATATGTATGTACTATATTTATATATTTTTTTTATTTTAGCAAATCTACTTAGGTTTTAGGGGAAAGAAAGAGAAATTTTGCTCCTAATTGGTATTGAACTCACAACTTAAGAGAGAGATATCAATTGAGAGTTTTTAACCACATGATGTAGAGATTATTGACTATATAAACATAATGTTAAAATATGCTTTTTAAAGTTTGACTAAATAGTCACTTTGATTATTTATTTATTTTGAGCATTTTGGCTCCTTACATTTCATTTTATGGTGAAAAAGTTTAACGTTTGATTAAATATTCAATTTAACTCATTTTCTATTTTTATGAAGCATTTTGACCCGTAATATTTCATTTTAGTGAAAAAAATGTCATATTTTAAAGTATTAACCGTTTTAACTAATAATTTTTATCTTGAATAGTTTTTTTTGACCAAAAATACTTAACAAATAGGAGATTAAAGTCACTATCAAACATACGACGGGTAATTGTTTTTAACATTATGCAATATATATATATATATATATATATATATAAAGATCCCTTTATTTTATTCCGCAATAATATGTCTCTCTTTCTTAGTGAAATGATAAATTACTTGTACCCTTGTTGAATATGAAGGGAGCAGAACTGATGGAAGAAAACCAGCAATTGAAAGAGAAAGTGAGTGTATATCATCTGGAAAAGAAAAAACTTGTCTTAGTTTCTTGCATGCTTTCATTTCATTTGATGGCAAAAGTTGATTTTTGGTAGATGGAGAATTCTTCTCATGCGGCTGAGCAAGGCCAACCGTCAGAAACCACTGGCCATGCGTGGAGAACCTTTAGCTATGACTTCTCTCTCAGATTGGGGTAAAACTAAATTTAACAGCATTCATGACCAGGGATTTCAATTTCAATTACTTGCGTTACGTTTATCGCGATTATGGATATAATAGATGCTATTGTGGTCACTGCGATATCGCGGTCATACAATAACGATTTCGGACGATATCGTTACCTCTATAAATTCTTGTTCATAATGACACGAAAACCCCTTTTTTGGTGTATTGATTTCTGCCATAGCTTTGTCTGAGTTCATGTTGGAATGCTTGTTTGTTGCAGGTTACCTTCCCCTAACTGATTGTTGAAAGGTTGGAGACGATGATGCCAAAAAGTGTTCATCATCATCATCTCCTTGCATCATCTTATTATTGACTCCTGTATGTATTATAATATTTATAACCAATTTATGGCCACTAATACAGCTTGTTACTCAGTAATATATACAGTAAAGTGTATGAATTCCATTGCAGTATATTTGGGTTTTCGATGCCTATTCACGTGTATAAATGATTATACGTATAGCTTATCCATTTTAAATGTATAAATATCTCTTTAAATAAATTTTCAAAGTATAAATATCAAAGATATTATCCTTAAATTAATACGTATAAATATCAAATAAATTTAGAGAGGGCTACGCATTCCACGCGCATAAAATCGCGTGAATTTAGTACTTCCCAAAAGCGTTAGTTTTCCCGTTATAGAACTGTTCCAAACTCATAACAAACAAAAGAAACCCGAATTTTCTTTCCTTTCCATCTCGCTTGCACCTCTTTACAGTGAAAAAAAAATAGTAACAGGAAAAAAGATTGAAGAAATAAAAGAAAACCCATATCGTGAGGTTACTCAGCCATGGATGAAACGTACGATGTGATAGTCTTAGGTACCGGCCTTAAGGAATGCATTCTCAGTGGTCTTCTCTCCGTTGATGGACTCAAAGTACATCTCTATTCACTCTTCTTTACATTTGTTATGCATTAAATTTCATTTTTTTTCACGTCTCATATCAATTTGGAATCTGGGTTTTTCTTTTAACCATCATGGGCACTCTACTGTTTATTTTCATATACTGAATGTGGGAATTTGTTTCTGGGTGTTGGTTCAAGCTGATGAACAGAAATGGATTAGATTTGTTAGGCTTTTTTTCTTCTTCTTTCAATTCTGAATTAATTATGAAGCTTTTATCCAAGTATATGAAGCTTTTATCTAAGTATCTGCACTTCAAAACAGGTTTTGCATATGGATAGAAATGATTATTACGGTGGAGAATCAACTTCTCTTAATCTTGTACAGGTCATTTCTCCTTTTGTTATTAAATGATGGAACTTATACTTTTGTTTTTAACCTTGATCTAAAATGTAACATTTTCTGAAAATTGCATTTGTGGTGTATAGCTTTGGAAGCATTTCAAGGGAAATGACAAACCTCCAGAACAGCTAGTCCCTAGCAGGGAATATAATGATGATATGATTCCCAAGGCATGTTTAACATTTTTCTTAACTACTATTAATTTTTTAGTTTTGTTTAGTACTTAATTGTCTACTGGATGCATATGTATGTATGCATGCATGCATCTTGGGTTGCAGTTCATATATGCATCTTGGGTTGCAGTTCATATATGCAGTTCTATAAATTTAATAAATGACTAGAATAAAAGATTTTAAAGTTAATACTCAAATTAAGACATTAGACAAAATAAAGACAGAATCATGATCAAATTGAATTAAATGAAAAATTCGAGGAAACAAATCATATACAAATAGTGACCAAAATGGAAGAAAATAAAGCAGGGTGCCTATGTTGCGAATATGTAACTTTACAAGGACCAGCATCCTAATTATACCAATTTTGTTAACTGCCACGTAAACACTTCCGTTAAATCTGTTAAATGTTAACGGCAGGTTGCTATATTGAAATCATTTAAATAATTCAGTGGTCATATTGATGCACATTTGAAAATTGTGGTCATTTCAAGATCAAACCCATAGTTGGGTGGTCCTTTATGTAGTTTATCCTATATTTTTTAGGTAAATTATAGCAATGACTACTTAATTCGGGATAGATTCTAATTTTACTATATATATATTCTAATTTTATCAATTAAACTACTTAGATTGTTTAAATAATGTTAATCAAAACATTAACCGTTAAATTTAATAGAAAAGATGAGATGAAAAATTAAAAAATTAATATAAGTATGCATTAATATAATGTGTAAGTAATTTGAGCTAAATATATAATTATATCAATTTTAACTGACATATTATATTCTTCATTAAATATTAATGACTTGTAGTTTGATTGACAAATTTAAAATATTAATGAGATCCATTTGTTAGAATCCTTCGTAATTAAGTGATCATGAGTCAAGTTTATCTTAAAAAAAATCATGGGGTTCATTGATTAAACATAATTATCCTCTAATTTCACGTCTACAATTAACTAATATATTATGTTTTAATTCTGACATAAATCCTAAAATCTCTTGAATAAAAATATTATTGATATTAAATTCTTTATCATGCTAATGTCTAACTTAGTTTTATAGATAACTTAGTTTGATATAGTCATATATATTTAACTTAGTTTGACACCTTAAAAATTTGAAAGTGTCATTAAATTTTAAATTTCAAAAGTTATATATATATATATATATATATATATATATATATATATATAGATGAGTATACAGCGCACGTCGCATATCACAACATACCATTAAAGTGACGTATTGGAACACACCACTAATTAAATTATCATTATTAAGTAAATATTAAAAGGGTAAATTATACATTTAATACTTACGCTATCAATTTTTTTTAATACCTTAACTTTATTTTTTTAAGAACCATTAATGATCATGTTGATGTGACATAACATGTTAACTTTTTTAATTTTTTTAATTACCACATCATCTTTTTCTTTATTTTTATGTATTTTTAATTAATTTTATTTAACCAATTAGGTAGTGACACATGTTACAACCATGTCACCACCTATGCGGATAAAAAGTTAGAAGTCATTTTACTCCTAGTATACATTGAACTTTCAACCAATGAGCTAAACTAGTCATTTAATTATATTTTATCACATTTTGTATTAAACTTATATAATAATATCACCACAAAATCAAAATTTTGTTTAGAAATACTTATTCATTATTAAAATAAAAGACTATTGTTTCACTTTATTTAAAATAAAAAATAATTAAATAGTTTATATATTTTTATATGAAATAATTATAAAAAAGTATATTTATAATATTTTATAAATATTTTATAAATTTTTAAAATCAAATTAATTATTTTTTGAAATAATATTATTTTTAAATTATCTATTTAATTTTAAATAATTTTAAGTTTAGGGTAAATTATACGTTTAGTATCCAAGTATTATTTTGGTTCTATACAATATTATTTAAAATTAAATAGATAATTTTAAAATAATATTATTTCAAATAATTAATTAATATTATTTCAAATAAATAAATAATATGATTTTAAAAATTAAATAAATATTTTAAAATAATTCAGATACAAAAAAAATAAATTTTAAATATTAAAATGAAACAAAAGTGATAATTTAGGTACAAAACATGTAATATACCCTTTTAATATTTACTTAATAAGAATAATTTAACTAGTGGTGTATTTTAATACGTCTCTTTAGTGGTATATCGCGGTGTGCAACGTACATTGTATAATTTTCCATATATATATATATTACTTTAAGACATTAAATTAAAATTATTCTTATAATCAATATATATATATATATATATACAAACTTAATTTGATCCATTTTTTTAAATATTTTTTACATTAAGTTTCAGTAAGATTTTAACATGTTATAAGGGGTCTTAAAATTTAGCTGTCAATAATTCTCGTAGAGAATGATGACGTATTACAAACGTCCATAATCATAGATCCTCTCTCTCTCTCTCTCTCTCTCTCTCTCTCTCTCTCTCTCTCTCTCTCTCTCTCTTCCCTTCATTTTCTAAATTTTCCTTCTAACCTCTTTCCAAGCTTACCGACACAATGAAAAAAAGATGACAATGTTAATTTAATTAAATAATCACTCCATTATCTATACTATAAAATTTTTTTAAAATTTTTTTGTTTTAATTTGAGTAAATTAATTTTGATATTGGGAACACCTTCTCTACAACAATAAAGCAATTCATGACTAACTCGACCCATTCTTCTAATAGACTCTCCATTTTACTGGTTAGGGTGTTCAAGAGGATGGTGGAGGTGATGACAGAGAGCAACAAATTAGCCTTGAGATAGTCTTTTATCTATTGTTGATGAAGGTTTGTCATGGCTACAGCGGTGGAGTTAGGGTTTGGCTATGGAGGTGAGGGTCGATCGCGATAGAAATTAGGAAAAATTGAGAATTAGAGATTCAGGTGGTTTGAGGAATAGTCTGAAGAAGCTGATACAAATTGGGGGAATTCGAACGATGTCGTGTGGATTATTAAGGATTGGCTGGATTGGGTGTTTAGTTAATGGGTCATGAGTTACTAAAGCCTAATAGTCTAGATTAGTGGGGTTCCATGTCCAAATATGGTTGACTACCAGCAACGGTCAATTTTGGGATTAGTTGTATAAAATGGGATCAAATTATAAACAAATAAACTCATGAATTCTAATCAAAATTATGAATTCTTCTTCCTTTTTATCTTCTGAAATCTTACTATCTTCTCGAATCACAACAATTGGTAATCAGAGCAAGTTTTGGAATCCATTAGCAAGCTAGGGAAGACAAGAAAAATGCATCAAAAGAATGGTGATGGCACCGAATATACTAATACTGATCAAAAACAAGGATCTGTAATTCAAGAACAAACCTCTGAAAAATAAGAATTGCCATATTGGTGAGCAGGGAAAAAAAGAACCTTGGATATCAGACATGTTATCAACATTGGATTCAAGAACGGAAGAAACTCAAGGATATATGCAGAGGATCTTGGAATTAATGTCCAAATGGGCAAGTTCTATTGAATCCACACCTGCAAGCAGCCTACGAAAGTATCAAAGTCAAGAAACTTACTCAGATAACAATCATCAATGACAAAGAAAGGTATTCGTTTGATCCTAAGGAACCATTTATATTAGCATCTAAACCTCAAATGGAATATAACTCTGTTTTACAAGAACCTTCGATGCACCCACATACCACACTCAATACTAACAATAATTGGAATAATAAGGCAAAATCCTCTTCAGCAGAAAATCAAAATCATAATGTATGTCTCTCTAAGCCAAAAATTGAATTGTAAACGTTTGATGGTACTAATCCTAGGGGTAGAGTTAGGAAATGTCAAAAATATTTTTCTATACTAGATGTTACTAAATATCATAAAATATATATTGTTTCTATGTATTTAGTAGAACGCGCAGAGGTTTGGTTTGATGGGTACATGATGCAGAAGACTAGAATTACATGGCAGAAATTTACTGTTGATCTATGTTATAGATTATGTGATATGAACTATATTGATGTCATTGATTAATTTAACAAGTCTCTAAAAGTCCACAATGGCAGAGTATCAAGCACAATTTGAGGAGTTAAAACCATTTATGTTACAAAAGAATCCTCATTTGGGGGAAAACTACTTTGTTCCTAGTTTTATCAATGGCTTAAAAGAATAGTTAAAGCATAAGGTCAGAGTTCATGAACCACAATAGTTGCAGGAAGCTGTGCGAAAGGCTAAATTGTATCAATTAGCAATGGAAGTTGATAGCAGAAAGACTAGGTCAATGGATAGAGTAAATCCTTCAACCTATTACACTAATGTACTGAGATCAACCTCTTCGCCAGTCCAAACATTACAAAGAAACCAGACCACAACAAACAATACTAGAAAAATCCTAATGGATATTAGGAGAGCAAACAACTTATGTTTTCAATGTGGGAAAAAGTTTGGACCTGCTAACCAATGTAGACAAAAAAAAAACTCAATTTGATAAAGGAAACAGAGGAAATGAGTGAGTTTCAAGCTGAACAGTGTGCTATGGAGGAGATGCAACAATCACAATAATTTTTTCAGGCTGATGACAAGGATAAGGAGAACTTGGAAATTTCAATCAATGAACTTAATGGTAATATAGGACACCATACAAATTAATGGTACAATTAAGGGGAGGCCTTTGAGTATTTTAGTGGATAGTGGGAGCACCCATAGTTTTGTCAATCCAAGCTGGACAAAAAAAATGAGTGGAACTTGTGCACACCTAATCATTGGGTTATTACTGTATATAGTAGGAAAAAAATTATAAAACACAACTAATTAAAAGAAAGAATTTAGAATAGAAGATGCAGGGGTATACCTTTCAGCACGATTTCAAAGTTTTAAAAATGGGAGGCGGTGATATGGTATTAGGAGTAGATTGATTAAAGAAATATTGCCCATTTTAAATTGACTTCAATGAGATGAGACTAGCATTTATTAAGGACAAAAAGGATACTCCAATAACACTATAAAGCATATGTAAGGGGATCGATTGCAAAAGTTGGCAGCTAAGGATGGAGACATCATAGGGGAATTTATTATTTGAGTGCAGGGGAAGACTATGAATGTGAAATTCCTATAGTGCTGCAAGAATTATTAGATAAGTATCCAAGAGTTTTTGAAGAACGTACAAGTTTACTCCCATCTAGGAACCATGATCATATAATTACACTCTAGCCTAATGCTCAAGTAGTAAAAATCAGACCCAACATGTTCTCTTATCACCAAAAGATAAAAGTGGAGAAACAAATTACTGACATGTTGGCATCCTTTGTGATACAGCACAATAAAATCCCTTTGCCTCTCCATGTTTATTGGTTAAGAAGAAGGATGACAGCTAGAGGTTTTGTGTGAACTATAGACAACTCAATAATATTACAGTAAACGAAAAATTTCCTATACCCGTTGTGGAGGATTTATTAGATGTATTAGCAAGGGTTAAGTATTATTCCAAAATTGATTTCAGATCTGGTTACTGCCAGATTCGAGTTAGGGATGAAGATATTTCTAAAACAACATTTAGGACTCATCGTGGACATTATGAGTTCAGGGACATGACCTTTGGGCTAACTAATGCTCCAACTACTTTTCAAGCTCAAACGAATGATATTTTTTCCTTATTTATGGAAATTTGTTTTAGTTTTTTTATGATATTTATATTTACATCCCTACCTTAGAGGATAATGCAGGGGCGGATGCACTAAGCCCTATAGGAGGCCAAGTGCATCCCCATTATTTAGAAAAATGGTGAAAATGTTAAGGAAAAAATTAAAAAAAAATTAAAAAAAATTCATACCCAATATTTATTAGAAAAGAATATTAAAATTTTGGACCCTCATTCTTAAATTTCTGGATCCGCCACTGGGATAATGTAAAGCACCTGCAAGTGGTTTTAGAGATTCTGCAAACTTATCAACTGTATACTCGTAAGAAAAAAAATGTTTTTTTGGTTAGAGAAAGGTGGAGTACTTGGGACATAATTTCAGCTAATGGAGTGGCTACAGATTCTGCTAAGATAGATGAAACACCCTAATCCGCTCCGACCCAAAATCCAGAGGATTAGAATATTACACGGAACCACCTAAGTGGTTAACCATTTTTTTTAAAAATCAAAACCCATAGCCATCATTTAAATCAATAGTTCAAGACAACAATAAAACACATTTTTTTTATAAAATGGAGCTCCAAGACACAATTTAAATCAATTAATACAACTCAAAGTTTACAACTCATAATACATAAGTTAGGGTCCTATTAAGACACATGCCCACTAAATTAACCATACAATACTCTATAAGGAGATGTTGGAAACATTGTTGCGACGGTTCTCCTTGAATGGCTCAAGCTAATAACATGCGAACGGAAATATCTAAATGCTAAGCTTACAAAGCTCAATAGTATAATCACTAATCTAGAGTAGTATATGAATCTCATAAACATAAGAATGCTAGAAGATAAGGTAATAAACAGTAGGTACATGCATGATCGTAATCAAGTGCTACCTACTTAAGGTTCAATAGTTATATCGTTGTAGTTTGAGCCTCATGCTTCCCTTAGCATTTCACTAAGAGCCTTTCCATTAGTAATACATATATATTGGGTCTCTAACCCTATACTAAACAACAAAAGAACGCAAGAAGCATGAGACATAACAACATAACAAATGTACATATATGGTAGCGTTGCCATCGATTAATGAAAGTGCCTCAACACTAATACATTGAAGTGCCTTAGCACTGATGAGGATATATCTGGATATTGCACTTAAAATATTTTTTGCAATTGTCTTGCATATAAGTAACTCGGGTGTCCTCATCGTTTCCCGAGTGGCAAACAAAGACATAAGTCTTATGGAATCTTACCTCACAAGGTTCTTATGATTAGCACACAATTAACATTATTATTATTATTATCTCTTTATTATTATAAATCTATTCTCTATAGCTAACATCCCAACACACATGTCAACTAATGTTACACGAAGGTAATCGAAGTAGCTCGAGTACTCACTATCGAACTCATCATAATCAGGAAAGGTCATCGCCTCACTCGACTCTATCTCTATCATTCTCTCATCTAGAACATTATGAAAGGGCTTCTTAGTCTTTTAGTGTTTTATGCCGTTAAGGCAATCATTATTCCTTACTAACCACTTGGTATATCACTATTAACCTGATACTCGATTCGGGGTTAGTTCATTGACAATGACTCCCCAGTCGCCCCCATCATACTTCTCATCATTTCACCCTTGAATTGATAGGGTAACTTGCTCTTATTTGATTGTAGGTGAACATATGGTATTTGATTAGCTCTATCTCGCTTGTCAGGTCATTCGTCGTTTCACTCGTCAGCACGTCTTTCACACTGATCTTTCGTTTGCGATTACTCGATACATATTCGATAGGAGATACTTGGAATTATTAAACCTAAATGGATACTTCAGTTGCAATCCACCTCTAAACACCTTTTTTAACACTTATTCTAGTGTTTTACACATATTGGATCCCATTTATGATCATACTATGGGTCCAGGGCCTTTCATGCAACATTTTAGGCCTATTTGAACATGTTGTCCAGGAGGTTTCGAAACCACAGTGTAAATTTGCATTTTGGACAATGGATTACAAAATCAGCTTGGGGGTTTCGAAACCATTGTTGCAGATTACCTTATTTCTCACGAGAAAAGCTCTCCAATCACTCTTAAGACCTTTCCAAGGTCCCCAAACATTATCTAAAGCTTATAAAAGTTACTTAGGGTCATCTATCACCCTAAAAAGCAATCTTTACAACAAACTTCATCTAATTAAAGAATTAAGAAAAAACCCCAAACATACTCAAATACCCAAATCTTCAACAAGCATCATGTTTAAGAATTTCATAAGACAAATACACTACCTTGGTGTTAGAAACCCGAAATGAAGCTCCTTTACCAATCACAATTACTTTCTTTCTTGCTTCAAGGACTTGAACACTCTCCACCCACAATCTCAATCTAAACAAGAAAAGAATAAACTATTAAACATCAAGAATGTTGCTAGAGAACTTAATGATGAATTTAAAGTCCATAACAAGCATGAAATTCTCCTCCTAAAGCACTTACATTTACTTTAGGGAACCTTGAGATGTATAGAAGAAGAAAATGGAGAAAATGGAGAGGAAGAAGATGGAGAGAAATAAAAGTTGTCAGCTTTTGGCCCAAGCCCCCACATCACCCTTATCTAGAAATCCTAAGGAAATCAGCTTTGCTAACAACAAGGATCTAAATACTCTTTAGGTCTATCGCATTTTGGCCTTTATACAAAAATCCCATTTTTATGACCAATTGGGCTCATTTCTCATCCAATTAAGCCCACACATAGCCCAAAGACTTTAATTACGAACTCCACATAGTCCACATACCTCTTAGGTGAACCCAAAACTACTAACCCAAAATTTGGGGTGTTACAATAGAGGTAATACAACAATGGCAAATACCTACTATCACCAGTCCTTGAGAGGGTTTATGGGCTTAACAGGGCATTATAGGAAGTTTATTTAAGGATAAGGAGCCATAAGTGAG